ACGTAGACGCAGTCAAGCCTGTCGAGGTTACTGGTGACTCGGGTGCTGCTGCGGGTGCTGAGCCTGGGGGTGCTGACTCTGGGGGTACTGAGCGTGTGTTTGCTACGCTTGGGGGTGCTGGGCCTTCGGGTGGTACTACTGGGGGTGCTGAGCCTGGGGGTGCTGAGACTGGGGGTGTTGGGCCTGGGGGTGCTACGCCTGGGGGTGCTGAGCCTGGGGGTGCTATGCCTGGGGGTGGTGAGCCTGGGGGTGCCACGTCTGGAGCTGCTGAGCCTGAGGGTGCGGAGCCGGCGGCCGCTGGGCCTGCTTGTGTGGCGTCTGGCGGTGCTGGGCCTGGAGGTACTCCGGGTGCTTCGTCTCGGCGGGAGCCACTCTCTTCACAGGAGCTGCGCGAGTGGTTTGCCCGGCGCTTGAGGCGTTCTGCTGGAGCTGGTGCTTCTTCGGCTGCTGAGGGTGCTGGTGCCGCCGCTCCCGGAGGTGCTCGTACTGGGAGTGCTGGAGCTGCTGGGCCTGCGGGTACGACTGGAGCTGGAGCTACTGAGGGTGTTGGCGCTGAGGCTACTGCTGTCAGTCCTGGCGGCGGTCCTGCTGCGGGTGCTGCTGGTGCTGCTGGAGGTACTGCAGCTGGAGGTACTGTTGGCGCTGGTGCTGCCGCTAGGGGTGCTGGTGCTGTCCCTGCTGTGTCTGGAGTCGCCGCGCGGCCTTGGCCGTACTTCGTTCCGCTTCTTCAGCAGGTTCTTGGTCTCCCGCCTTCTACTAGTCCTCCTCCTCCCTTAGAGTGTCCACCGCTTGACCCGTCACAGCTACAGTTACTGCCGGCCTCCCCAATGCCTGCTCCGCCTCCCTACACTGGTCCTACTGGAGGTCTTGCTGAGCGTCGTGAGCCTGCGTCTCGCCCTGCGTCGCCTGTCCGTGCTGCTCGCACTAGTGGTCGCGGTTCGCGTCAGCGTCCTCCTCCTGTCCCTGGCACGCACCGGATGTCTCTGCGTCCGTCCACTGCTCCTCTGCGTGCCCCTTTGCCTTCTCCTCCTGAGTTTTATCTTCCTGCTCTGGCCGACCCGGAGTCGGACTCTCTTCGTGCTGCCAGTCCTACTGTCACGCGTCTCCTTGCAACTGTCGTCACTGACCCTTCTGTTGAGTCCACTGCTGCGTCTGCCTTAGTTGCTGAGCTCGTCGACTTTGCTGCTCGCTGTCGTCTAGACTACGCTGCTAGTCTTGTCGCTGAGTCTGAGTCTGTCCGTCCTCCGTCCGTCGGGGGTGAGTGTGCCCTTGGCACGGACGTCCTTGAGGACAGGCAGGAGGAGTTCCAGTGTCTGGCTGCTGCTTCACCTCATCTCGTGTCCGTACTGCTTACCCCTGAGGGAGACCCGGATGCACTTGACATCCCGACTCCGCGCTCTTACGCGGAGGCCGTAGAGGGTCCCTACTCCTCTCAGTGGCAGGCAGCTATGGATGCAGAGATGGCTTCGTGGAAGTCCACAGGCACCTACGTTGACGCGGTTCCCCCACCTGGGGCGAACATCGTCAGTGGCATGTGGATCTTCAGGGTGAAGCGGCCGCCAGGTTCTCCACCTGTCTTCAAGGCGCAGTACGTGGCTCGTGGCTTCAGTCGACGGCAGGGAGTTGACTACTTTCAGACCTTCTCTCCCACCCCGAAGATGACCACTCTTCGGGTGCTGCTGCACATAGCCGCTCAGCGCGACTACGAGCTTCACTCTTTTGACTTCAGCACTGCTTTCTTGCAGGGTTGCCTGCACGAGGAGATCTGGATGCGCCGCCCACCTGGCTTCACTGGGACTTTTCCTCCTGGCACCCAGTGGAGCCTCCGGCGGCCAGTCTACGGTCTCCGCCAGGCACCGCGTGAGTGGCACGACACATTGAGGACTACGCTTGTGGCTCTTGGGTTTGCTCCCTCTACTGCCGACCCGTCGCTGTTTCTGCGCACCGACACCTCTTTGCCGCCGTTCTACATCCTCGTGTACGTCGACGACTTGGTCTTTGCCACTGCTGACACTGCTGGACTCGCCCACGTGAAGTCCGAGCTGCAGAAGAGACACACGTGCACAGACCTGGGTGAACTGCGCAACTACCTTGGCTTGCATATCACCCGGGACAGAGCACGCCGCACCATTACCTTGACTCAGTCACACATGGTGCAGCAGGTCCTTCAGCGCTTTGGCTTCACGTACTCCTCGCCTCAGGCCACTCCTCTGCCTACTCGCCACTCGCTCTCAGCTCTGCCTTTGGATGAGTCCGTAGAGTCGAGTGGCCCATACCCAGAGCTTGTTGGCTGCCTCATGTACCTGATGACCTGCACACGACCTGACCTTGCATACCCTCTTAGCATTCTTGCACGCTATGTTTCTCCTGGGAGACACAGACCGGAGCACATGGCTGCAGCGAAGAGGGTGTTGCGCTACTTGTGCAGTACGTCGTGCATGGGGCTAGTGCTTGGAGGGCAGAGTCCAGTGGTCCTCACTGGGCACGCAGACGCTTCTTGGGCTGACGACCAGGCTACACAGCGGTCGTCACAGGGTTACACCTTCAGCCTTGGTTCCGGCTCTGTTTCGTGGAGGGCTACTCGCTCGTCTTCCGTTCTCGGCTCCAGTTGTGAGGCTAAGATCTACGCAGGAGCCATGGCTGCTGAGGAGCTTCGCTGGCTCACCTACCTGCTGACTGACCTCGGAGAGCCGCCTCGTTCTCCTCCAGTGCTGTACGTAGACAACAAGGCCATGCTGGCCTTGTGTCGGGAGCAGCGCCTGGAGCACAGAACGAAGCACATTGCTCTCCGCTACTTTCTTGCTCGTGAGCTGCAGCAGCGTGGTCAGTTGCGACTTGCGTACGTGGCCTCTGAGGCCAACATTGGTGATATCTTCACTAAGGCACTTGCGCCTTGTGATCATCAGCGCTTCTGTACTCGGCTTGGTCTTGTGCCTGCCTTGCGTCACTTGCTCACTTCTTGACCTTGCTTGTACTGTCACATATATATACTCCTGTTCTTGCTTGTTGAGCCTTTTATATATATATGTGATCCTGCATGTGAACTGGCCTTCTGGCCTTGAACTTGTGCTCGGAATGTGTGGTGACTTTGTGATCCACCCTGAGCTTTGCTTTGTTATGCTTGACTGGTCTTGTGACCCCTTGTTCTCCCCCACTTTGCCTATGGGGGTGTGTCAAATCATAATGTTCTGTAGGCTGTAGTGGGGTAGCCTATATGGGGTACACATTTCTAGGGTTGAATATTTGTACCACATTCCATTCCTTAGTGCATCATTCTCGTTTCAATTCTCACAATATGTACACAGACGGGCTTCGGGAAGGCAAAGGGGAAGTCTTTCATGACGGCATCAGATCACATCGCATCAGCAAACCACCTCCTTCAACTGGAAAAGATGGGTACTGCGACGCGTGTCACCTTGGAGAAGGCAACCCTTGCCTTGCTCAAGAAAGATTACGGTCTCTAGCTGCTTGGTCAGCTACAGCAGCGTGAGGTCTCCTAATAGTCGGTCTTGTTGCGTCTTTCAGCCTGTGGATGAATAAAGGTTGCCAGGGAGTGATCAAATGAGTAACATCAATGTACTGCCATTTGCCGGCCTAAACGTGAACGGGCTCGGAGATTTAACGAAGCAATCATGGGTCACATCATGGATGAAAGCAGTGGCAGACATCAACATTCTTACAGATACCAGACTAGAAGGGAACCACACTTACTGGAACAAACTCAGTGCAGCCTCGGTGGTAGCAATTACACCTCAGGAGAGAGCTGGGGGTGTAGCAGTCATCGCCCGGGACCCTGGTATACAGTTTCGGAACACGATGACTCATCCCTCGAGTAGACTCATTAGGACAGAGGCTATAGGTAAAGGTCTCACCATCACCCTTCTTGCGAGTTACTTTCCAGCATCGCCGGCAGCTCGTGTGGGGTTCATCAGGGACGTCGTCGGGCCGGTAGTAGATCAGATAGACCCAGGTAGTCATGTCCTCATCCTCAGGGACCTCAATATGATTGACAACCCTTTCTTAGACAAGTCATCACGTGCTGGCTTAGCGGCCGGGAATATCAGGCTGATGCGCAGGTGCGGGGTGTTCCAACTCTCGGATGCCTTCCGTACCCTACACCCCACCAAGAGGGAATACACCTTCATGTCGACGGCGAAGCACGCCAGTACGAGGATCGACCGGGCCCTGATTTCGCGGTCACTGCTCCCTGGTCTGGAGTCAGCGTCACATAAGTCACCGGACGACCCGATCTCGGATCACGGCTTCGCCATCAGGGTGGCTTTTCGTTGCAGCGCTAAGGCGAAGCTTGGTCCGGGGGTCTGGAGATTTCCATCCCACCTGCTCAACAGGCCGGGAGTAAGGAGGGTGGTGGAAGCAGCGGCGAGACAGTCAGGGGGTGACTATGTTTTGTTGTTGGCTCGGCTGAATGCAGGGCTTCGTGCCTACGCTAAGGAAGAGAGTAAGAGGGTTAAGGCGACAATGAGGCACCTGTCCGCTGCAGTGGCGAGCTTGAAGCAAGCGGCCATAGGAGCACCCAACTGCACGCGTACAAGGGAGCTCTTGAGAGCAAAAGAGGGTCAGCTGAGGGAATACCAAGCCTCCCGACGGGACAGACTCCACCTGATGGCTGGTTATGGGGCAGAGCTAAAAGGGGAAGTGGTCTCGAAGCATCTGTCGGCAAGGGTAAAGTCCCGGAAGCAATGCACGCGGATAGCAGAGCTGAATGTCAACGGCACGGTGGTGGATGACAAGCAGGGGATTTTGGACGCGGCGGCAAGTTTCTTTAACGGGCTCTTCGGCATGGATAAAAGGACACACCGTACGAGCTAGTTACTGGACCGGAGGCTGTCGACAGAGGATGCGGAAGGGCTTGCTCAAGATTGGACGGAGCAGGAAATTAAAAACGCCTTCAAAACGCTGGCGTGCGGAAGTCGCCGGGCTTGGAAGGGATCCCGAAGGAGCTGTTTGAGTTACATTGGGACATCCTGGGCGAGGGTTTCATGAACTTGGCACGCTCCTTTGTTGTCTCTGCATCACTGCCTGCGAGCACAAAGGAGGCGGTTACGATACTGTTACACAAGAAGGGGGATAAGGGCCAATTAAGCAACTACCGGCCTATCACGCTTCTTAATTTCACTTACAAGGTCCTGGCAAAAGTGGTGGCTGACCGGATGAAGAAGGTGCTGCACCAGGTGATCTCGAAGGAGCAGTACGGCTTCATACCAGGACGGAGGTTATCCGATGCAGTCAGCCTGGTGGCTGATATCATTGACGCTGCAAACAAAGGGGACAAGGACTGGTTTCTGCTGCTGGTGGATTTTCAAAAGGCGTTCGACACCGTCTTCCGGGGCTTCCTGTTTGAGACGCTGGAGAAAATGGGCTTCCCTCTGAGATTTGTGGGGTGGGTGAGGGGCCTACATAAGGAAACGAAGACGAGGTTGTTAATTAACGGTTGGAAGAGTGAGGCCTTGGAGGTGGTTTCCGGGGTGCGGCAGGGGTGTCCTCTCACGCCTTACCTTTTCATATGCGCGGTGGAGCCCCTGGCCCAGGAAGCGGCGAAGAGGCAGCTGGGCATTGTCAGTGATTCGGGGAGGAGGTTGCCTTACCTGGGTTATGCGGACGATACCACGCTACTGCTGCAACGGAGGGAGCAGATTGCAGAGGCAGGAAAGATGCTGGATTATTTCGCGCGTGTTTCTGGCCTGGTCACAAACAATGATAAGTCGGAGGTGATGCCACTGGGCCGAAATCTGGGGGGTCGTCCCTGGAGGCCGGATGGTTTCAAATGGGCCGGCGCGGATGAAGCGGAAAGGCTGCTTGGGGTCTGGATTACCGCTTCAGGCGACTGTAAGGCGACATGGGACAAAACGCTGTTGAGACTGCTGGAGGAGATGGGTAAATGGGAGCTGAAGTATCTCACGATTTCAGCGAGGGCGGTTGTCATCAACGGATACATTACCCCGATCATCGCCTTCCAGGCGCAGGTCTACCCGCCACCGCAGGAGGTCTGGGGGCGGATAGCGAAGTTGATTAATAATTTCCTCTCAGGAAACCACGCGTCGGAGGAGGGGTGTTTCATCCTGTGGGGGAAGGAAACAATCTTTGCAACATGAGAAGAGGGAGGTATTGGTGTGAAGGACCCGGGTGTTCTGGTCGCCTGCCTGGCCGCCAGAAGCATCGAAATCCTGCTCACTGAGACGAACGATTTTAAACGAGATATGATGTTAGCAGCGGCGGGGCTGCCGCTGGGGCTGGATACTTTCTTGTCGCACGAGAAGTTGCTGAAGTATTGGGTGGACGGGAGCGCGAGATGGAAGCAGACATGCGAGTGCTTCATGACGTCGCCGTTTGCCACCGTCAGCACACCCCTCACCACAGCGGAAGTTGCTGCTGAGAGGCTGGTTTTCAACAAAGGCATTCTGCTTAATGGGAGGACGCCGGTTGGAGGACAAAAAAGCTGCTAAGGCACTTTGGGGAATCAGGCTGGGGGATCTGGTGGCGCCCACGGCGAACGGTGTGATGGCAGTAAAGAGCGAGGAAACCCTAGCAGAATCACTCGGAACAGCACCTGCTCGGCTGGCTCTGAAGGGGCTGGCAGCCGCGCCTGAGAACTGGAGGGAGCTGCTGCTCGCCTCGTCGGAAGGGAATCAGGGCGCAGACACGGGGGGGAGAGCGGCCATAGCTCCCGGGGCTAAGCTGTTCCGCACGCCTATTTTCCACCTTGGCCAAGTCGCCCCGATAAGGCACCTGCGGTTAGCATGGAGGAAGCAGGGGTCTTCGAAGCGGAGGAGAGAGAAGTGGGCGAACAGATGGGGGGGGACAATTGACTGGAAGCGGGTGTCGAAGATTCGGGACTCGCTCACCACGCCTAGTCGCCCCAGGGATATTGTGACAAGACTCTGAAAGGAGTCTGCAATGCAGTCGTCATAGGTATGCAGTCGTCATAGGTCATCATCAATTTACATGGCACATGATATAGATGTAGCAAGGTTATGCAAAGCTACCATAAGATGCAATCTAGCTACGCGTCTATGCATGTTAGGGGTGGGACGGGCGGGAACTCAAATTGAGATGAGTGAAATGAGACTAGGTGGCAGGTCTGTGGACCTGCCAAAGGATAAGATGGGAATGCCTCCTTATTGCATTCCCTTTTTTTGAATCTTGTCACAATCATTAAATTTAGAAATATGTTTCTAAATTATTCATATTGTGACAAGACTCTGAAAGGAGTCTGCAATGCAGTCGTCATAGGACAAGCGAAACATTACGGTAGTGGGCGGTGGCGGACGCGGCCGACAGTGGCCGCATAGCGGGTTGTAGGGCTCTGTCGAGATGGATCTTGCATAAGTCGCGACGCGTGAATTGTGAAGAAAATGAGGAATGAAGAAGAGGGGTTTCACTAGCAAGCAGTTGAGTACATATAGCAAACCCTAAATTGGGCTGTACTCACTATTGAGTACCCCACTGCAGGCTAGACAATTATAACATTCTGACATGAATCAATTCCGAGTCGAGTTGGGTGACGTACATCTCCTTCGCACCATCGCTACGCCACCGCCCGAGAGCTTTGAAGAGGCGATCCGGAACCCCAGCATCAACAGCGAGTGTGGCTGCCGTCTTACGAAATGAGTGTGCTCCGAGGGTAGAAGGATCCAAGCCAACTGGAGCGAAGGCCTCACGACACCAATTCCGCACGGTAGTGTAGGACGGAGGGGCGTCCAACGGCAGCGCGCCCGAACTTGGCCGAAAGACACGAATGAGAGAGCCGAGGGAAGCGTGAGAGAACCCCGCCAAAAAGAGAAATTCTTTAACGCGAGCAACCGGGCAATGGCGAGCGTTCAATGTAGCCACTGGAACCCAAGCGCCGGCGCCTCTTTGATCAGTCTTGGAACGCGGGATGAATAGCCACATGCAGTCAGAGTCGAACTCAATGTGGTGCCATTGAAGGGCAACAAGGTCGGAGAAGCGCAGAAAAGCCGAAAACATGAGGAGAGGAATGAGCCCTTTTTGAAAGACAGCGGGGTCTCGCGAGGAAAAATAAGCATCACACATGTCGTAAATCTTGGAGGGGGGCACATGATCCTTTGCCCAGTAGGGACGTGCACATGTGCGCTGGGCGTAGTTCTTAACTTGTGACGAGAGTGGTCCTTTAATAGGGGACGGGGCGCCTAAGAGCCAATGAGCGCACGAGATGGCTGAACAGATAGAGCGAACAGCTGACAGCGTCGCGCCCGACCGAATTGAGTATAGGAGGAAGAGGGCCGCGGTAAGATCATTCGTAGGAAGCGGCTGGAGCGAGTTCTTGGCGCAAAAAGTGCGATATTGCCGCCAGTATGTGTTGAACAAGAATGGATGAACTAGCAGTGAAATGAGTACAAGTATGAAAACCTAGGAATGTGTACCCCCTATAGTCTAACCCACTGCGGCCTAAACAACTAGAACAACATATATAATGTTTGACACACCCCCATAGGCGAAGTGGGGGAGAACTAGGGGTCACAAGACCAGTCAAGTAAAGCAAAGCAAAGCAAAGCAAGCTCAGGGTGGATCACAACGTCACCACACAATCCGAGCACAAGTGCAAGGCCACAAGGCCAGTTCACATGCAGGAGTACATATATATAAATAAGACTAAACAAGCAAGAGCAGTGATATATATATGTAACAGTACAAAGAGGGTCAAGAGGAGAGCAAGTGAGGCAAGACAGACACAAGACCCAGCTGGGTACAGCAGCGCTGATGATCACAAGGCGGAAGTGCCTTGGTGAAGACATCAGCAGTGTTGGCCTCAGAGGCCACGTACGCAAGTCGCAACTGACCACGCTGCTGTAGCTCACGAGCAAGGAAGTAGCGGAGAGCAATGTGCTTTGTTCTGTGCTCCAGTCTCTGTTCCCGACACAAGGCCAGCATGGCCTTGTTGTCGACGTACAGGATTGGAGAAGAACGAGGCGGCTCTCCAAGGTCGGTCAGCAGGTAGGTGAGCCAGCGAAGCTCCTGAGCAGCCATGGCCCCTGCGTAGATCTCAGCCTCACAACTGGAGCCGAGAAAAGAAGACGAGCGAGTAGCCCGCCACGAAACAGAGCCGGAACCAAGGCTGAAGGTGTAACCATGTGACGACCGCTGCGTAGCCTGGTCGTCAGCCCAAGAAGCGTCTGCGTGTCCAGTGAGGACCACTGGACTCCGCCCTCCAAGCACTAGTCCCATGCCCGACGTACTGCACAAGTAGCGCAACACCCTCTTCGCTGCAGCCATGTGCTCTGGTCGGTGTCTCCCAGGAGCAACATAGCGTGCAAGAATGCTAAGAGGGTATGCAAGGTCAGGTCGTGTGCAGGTCATCAGGTACATGAGACAGCCAACAAGCTCTGGGTACGGGCCACTCGACTCTACGGACTCATCCGAAGGCAGAGGTGAGAGCGAGTGGCGAGTAGACAGAGGAGTGGCCTGAGGCGAGGAGTACGTGAAGCCGAAGCGCTGAAGGACCTGCTGCACCATGTGTGACTGAGTCAGGGTAATGGTGCGGCGTGCTCTGTCGCGGATGATCTGCAAGCCAAGGTAGCTGCGCAGTTCACCCAGGTCAGTGCACGTGTGTCTCTTCTGCAGCTCGGACTTCACGTAGGCGAGTCCAGTAGTGTCAGCTGTGGCAAAGACCAAGTTGTCGACGTACACGAGGATGTAGAACGGCGGCAGAGAGGTGTCGGTGCGCAGAAACAGCGACGGGTCGGCAGTAGAAGGAGCGAACCCAAGAGCCGCAAGCGTAGTCCTCAGTGTGTCGTGCCACTCACGTGGCCCCTGGCGGAGACCGTAGACTGGACGCCGGAGACTCCACTGGGTACCAGGAGGGAAAGACCCAGTGAAGCCAGGTGGGCGGCGCAGCCAGATCTCCTCGTGCAGGCTGCCCTGCAAGAAAGCTGTGCTGAAGTCGAGAGAGTGCAGCTCGTAGTCCCGGTGAGCAGCAACGTGCAGCAGTACCCGAAGAGTGGTCATCTTCGGGGTGGGGGAGAAGGTATGAAAGTAGTCAGCTCCCTGTCGCTGACTGAAGCCACGAGCCACGTAACGCGCCTTGAAGACAGGCGGAGAACCCGGCGGCCGCTTCACCCTGAAGATCCACATGCCACTGACGATGTTCGCCCCAGGAGGGGGGACAGCGTCAACGTAGGTGCCTGTGGACTTCCAGGAAGCCATCTCTGCATCCATAGCTGCCTGCCACTGAGAGGAGTAGGGACCCTCTATCGCCTCCGCGTAAGAGCGCGGAGTCGGGATGTCAAGTGCATCCGGGTCTCCCTCAGAGGTAAGCAGTACGGACACGAGATGAGGTGAAGCAGCGGCCAAGCACTGGAACTCCTCCTGCCTGTCCTCAAGGACGTCCGTGCCAAGGGCATACGCACCCCTGACGGACGGAGGACAGACAGACTCAGACTCAGCGATAAGACTAGCAGCGTAGTCTAGGCGACAGCGAGCAGCAAAGTCGACGAGCTCAGCAACTAGGGCAGACGCAGCAGAAGACTCAAAGGAAGGGTCAGTGACGGCAGTAGCAAGGAGACGCGTGACAGTAGGACTGGCAGCACGAAGAGAGTCCGACGCAGGGTCGGCGAGAGCAGGAAGAGAGGACGCAGGAGGAGAAGGCAAAGGGGCACGCAGAGGAGCAGTAGACGGACGAAGAGACATCCGGTGCGTGCCAGGGGCAGGAGGAGGACACTGGCGCGAACTACGAGCACTAGCGCTAGCAGGACGGACAGGCGACGCAGGACGAGACGCAGACTCACGACGCTCAGTAAGACCGCCAGTAGGACCAGTGTAAGGAGAAGGAGCAGGTAGTGGAGAGGCCGGCTGCAACTGTAACTGTGACGGGACAGGCTGTGAACACGCTAAGGGAGGAGGACCAGGAGGAGGCGAGAGACCAAGAACCTGCTGAAGGAGCGGAACGAAGTACGGCTGAGGGCGCGTGGCGACTCCAGACACAGCAGGGACAGCACCTGTACCCCCAGCGGCAGTACCAGAACCAGCAGCAGCTCCAACGCCCAGGTCCTCAGTACGAGCCTCAGCACCAACGCCCGAGTCCTCAGCACCAGCAGTGGCTCCAACACCAGGGTCCACAGCACCTGCCGCAGCTCCA